GACATGTCACGTTAAATCGTTTGTAACATATATGAATTGATCAACAAGGGGGTTCCAATTTTTCTAGATTCGATTTCCAAATTTGGTAAAATACTTGACTGTAAAATAAAAATATCAATCAATACAAGTAAAAAATAGTACCTCTGGTTAGTTATTAACACTTCTTCTTTAGGAGACCCAAACAACAACACTCATGTTTTGTCATCTTGGACTCTGTCAAAAAATAAATTGTTTTTCCAAGAAGAAAAAAATAATTCGCGTCTGTCCTACCAAAAAAAAAACCAATAAGATAAATAATTGCGCTACGCGTCAATTAATAAACTTTTATTTTTTTAGATTTCAAAATGTCGAAATCCACAACTAATAAAAGAAACAAAAATAAAGAAACCAAAGATACATACAAGTAAGTGTTTTAAGGATGGTGGTGGTGGTTATCGCCCGCCACTCGTCGTTACTCTAGTAATTATTAAAATTTGATTTTCACTCACAAAATGCGTCTTCTTTTATATAAATATATATTTCAATATTAGAAATGATGATAACAAAGTAATAATCAAATTATATTTTCTTTGGATGGTAATATTGGTAGTTTTGTTGATATTAATCCAACTTTCTAACATACAGGAAAATAATTTGGAAACAAAGGAAAGATTGGAGGAGCAGGTGGTATTTCTGCAAAAAGAATTAATAAAACTTAAAGAAGAGAAAGGTAACAAACAAATTATGTAAAAATATATTTTCCGTTTTGTTTATTTGAGAGAGCATCTGATATATTTACCTTTCTTTTTTAATTAAATATACAATCTTGTCATTAATGACAAATACTTGTTTCATACCACAACTATAATTTTTTTTTGTCTTTTAATCAGGTATGTGCTTATACATATTTAACCATTTATATAAATTCTAATTTCTCACTCACACCATGGATTTTTGACATAACTTAAAAGTTTCTGAGTATATGAATGTCAAGGAGATATTATCTTTGAAATTACCTCCACTTACTTATTTTTCACTAAGAAAAAGTACTGGGACAACTATTTCAAGTTATCAACAATCCCCTCAGGAGACATTTGAATGGGATGGCTTCATTGAAGATGTAACAGATTAGGACTATCAACCAACACAGCAACAATTCAAACAACCACATTTTTTGGACTTTCGAATTTCTGATGAACCTTGTGTGCATCAAGCAATTGATCATAATATTTTTCGGTTGTTAAATACTCTTGAAGGTGACCGAAATATTGATTATGTTTGTCATACAGCATTTCCAAAGGTTGTGGGTGAATCAGATTTCATTTGTCATAAGGGTTCAGAATTGCTACTTGTAATTGAGATTAAAACAAAGTGGGTTTTGAAAATTTCAAATGGAAGTACTCTCCAAGAAATATAACGAAAATATTTGATTAGGATATAAGGGATATGTACCTGGAGATGGAAGTAATTCTATAATCCACATTATAAAACAAATTTATGGCTACATGGCTGCAAATCATCTTCAATATGGAGTGTTAGCAACTTATGATCAAACTTGGTTTCTCAAACAATCATATGATGAAGAAAATCTTGGTAAACTGTATATCTCACCATCTATTGGTTTTAATTTAAAACAACCAACCATTATTAAGGCCTATTTATATGTGCAGCATCTAGCAGAACAATCACAATATTGCCCTTCTCCACCACCTTCACCATTACTTTCCTTACCACCTTCATCTTCTTCTGATGAAAATGAAAGCAGTGGTAATGATGACACAGATTATCAACCAGGAAGAAAGAGAAAGTACTCCTCTGCAGGAAAAAAACAGTCATCACAAACAAAAAAATCATCTTTAACTATTAATATAAACAAGTGTTATAAATATTCAGAGCTATCCTTAAAAGAATTTAAATTTTGTCATGCTATAGGTTTTGGACAATCTGGAACAGTACATCTTGTTTTTTATCAAGGTCGACAAATAGCTCTTAAAATCAGTGACTTATCTAAACATCCAGAACTATTATCTGAATTACAAAATGAAGTACATATTTATGAAAAGCTTCAGGTACTTATATTCCAAGGCTTGTTTGTTTTGGTTACTTGTGTGGGGGAATATTCTTTGCTATTGGTACAACTTTGGCTGGAAAAAGCATAGATAATGTACAATCAACTAAACAACAGAAGCAGCAAGCTATTTTGGCTTTAAATGAAATTCATCGACATAAGGTTTTACATAATGATATTAGAAAAGAAACATCATGATTAATGACTCTGAAATGATTATGAGACCTGAGATTCAATGGATTGGATTTGGTATGGCCACCATGATTGCAAATAGTCATGAACCAATTAGGGAGCTAAACAAATTGAGGGCATTGTTGGATATGATATATGGGGCGCGGAAAATAGAAAGGGACCTAACAGCAAAATCTCGATTTTGAGTTAATAATGTTTTTATATGTAATTATTCACACAGATTAATTTTAGCTTAGGAACTATACCCACTTTGCTTAGTAAAATTTCGAGATATTTAAAGAAAGATAGCAAAACATATAAGAACCAAGAAATCGTAATTTTACTAAAATAAGCAATGATAGACGCAAATCCGAGTATTTGGTTGAAATAATGTAACACGAATTTATATAATGTATATATATATTACTGTTATTATAATAATAAATAAAATATATAGAAATTGACAAAACACTGTCCAATCAATTTTCATTTTTTTATTTGTTAAAAAAATTAGTGCAACAAAAATAATTTAATTTCAAAAGAAATTATTGACATAAAATTCATTATAACTTTTTAAACAAGTAAAAGAATTGTTAGGTATATATACAGTGAACCCTCCCTAAGTGCACCCTCCCTAAATGCATGCACTATGTATACCCTCCATAAATGCACAGCCCATCTCATCCCCAAGCTTATAGAGAGCTTATAAAATCACCCTCCATAAATGCATGCTCACAAGAAATAGCACTATGTTCCCGAGGGGGGTGCACTTATAGAGGGTTCACTGTAGTTAGGTAGACAAATAAACAAACGATTAACTAAAGAATTAAAATAATTAATATTTCAGGCATTGCTTGTAAGGGTCCAACTTTAAAATTAATTATTTCTTCTTCTTTAATAATTTGTTTTTGTATAATTTAATAAAAACAAATTAATTTTCTTTTTGTTTATTTTTTTTGGTTGGAAATTAAACAGTAGGATTTAATTATCTATTTGGTTATCCAAGTGGTATAGAACTCAGAGGGTTTGTGTATTTGCTTTGGTATAAAGCAAATGTTTTGTTTGTTTTTCTTTACATTGGTTAACCAGTATAGTGTTAACAACAGGTTTTTACATTGGGTAACCAGTATAGTATTATAATTAACAATGGATTTTTGGGTTTTTATGTTGGGTAACCAGTGTAACATTAAAAAGTTATAATTTTTGGGTTTTGGTTAAACATAAACATTCTTGTTTTAGTTTAATTGTTTAAGTGTGTAAATGTAAGATGTTGGCAAAGTATTAAGAGTTGACAGTTATTACTGATCAACCACCTATACAAAGGGCTAACAGTTATTAACCATATTCATTATCACCATTGTCATTCATTGCAAATGTATGGCTGACTTCAATTGACCAAAGAGAAGTAAAAGTAAACAAAATAGAAACCTTTGTTGCTTCATAGAAGGGCTGTCTTTATTGTAATTAATTGCTATTTGTACCATAACATGTGCTTACAGATTCGCCAAAGCTTTCTAGGTACAAGAAAGAGGCAGTAAGTAAGACAATTGTAAATAAATTCATAAAATAAATTAATTGATGAGCAGTTTATATTGTTACCGGAATTAGATTTGGAGGCTCTGTTGGCCAAAATTAACTAATTCCGCAATTCTTAATTTTTATTATTATTTTATTTTAGTTATTTCTACGTATTTTTATTAATATTAATTTAGTATTATTTTATCTGTATTACATCTATTTTCGTAATATGTTTTATTTTTTATTTTTATTTCTATAATGTCATAATTTATTTAACTTTATTAAGGAAGAATCATCTTTCCAATATTTCAATTTTGAAATATTGGTGCAATTTTGAAATATTATTACAATATTGGAATAACTTTTCAATATTGAACAGAAATTTCAATTTGAAATATTAGAATTACTAATTAATTAAATTGTATATAAGGAGCTTGAATTCAATGTACTTGAAAAGTAACTTTCTGATAAGTTAATTAGTTTTGACTAAGAAAAACTAAATAATAAAATAATAAATATTTTATTTGATTTAAAACTTTTATCTTCTTTAAACAAAATTATTTGCTAATCCAAAATCAATTCGTTGATAACCTATTCATTCTGGTCCACACATAAACAAAAATAATTGTTATCACCCATTAAAACATGCTCTCCCAAATTTAATCAGTGACAATATAAAAGCTTGTAATTAATCAATGAGTGTAGCTAAAAGTTAACTCAAAGCTCAGCCATAAATGAAAAATAATCAAGGTTGACCAAAAGTTACCCTCACAGTATTACAGGCAATTTCATTGCTACTGCTATATATATATTAATGTTAATATTAATATTAATATTAATAATATACATTAATTATTTTGAAACATTATTGAATAATTATGTAAAAATAGAATAAATGTACAAACACACAAGATAATAACAATTTTGTTTGCAACTCACTTTCAGGAAATCATGTTGTTGTTGTTTGCAAACTGACAAGCACTGTGTGCTGTATGAGGTAAAAAGGCTTTGTTGATATTTCTTCTAAACATTCACACTCTTTGATCATCAATAGGTTGACTCTAAAAGCATTTCTAGAAAGTGAATTAATCTTTAAAATCTTCCCATTTTGAGACAAGTTACTTGATAGAAAATAAATCAGGATGATATCATGGTGTGAATGAAATTTTTTTTTTAATTAATAAAAATGAATAAAAAAAATATTTTGCTTTTCTTGCTCACATATACACATATTTTTTTTAGTCCAATAATAATTTTAATTGTGTATGTTGTAAAATATTTATTTTGTTTTTTTCCAAAAAAAAAAAATAATAATTGCTTAGTGACAAGTCACATCTTCTATATATAATAATAATAATAATATTTGCAACAAATGTAGTTTTCACATACCTAGCTAGCAAGGTAAAAAAACTGAGTATTTGGATTGAGAATTAGGTCATTTAGCTTGATTTTTTATTTTACATTTATTTAATTTAAGCAAATAAAAAAATTTGATGTTGATCAATTAAAATGTCTACACACATATTTTTTAACAGTGTCTTTACTGATACACATTCTGAATTAAGTGATTTAAAAGAAGCTTTTGCTGAACTTAAAAAAAATTATCAATCTAACTCATATATTAAAGAAAAAAAAAATGAAACAATTTGTCTTAATTGAAGGAGGAGAAGGAGAAGGAGAAGAAGAAGAAGAAAGCAATGATGAAACAGAGATATTGACTAAAGAACAAATAGAAAAATTTAAAGATATTTATAATAAAAATAAAATAGTGGATGATGAGTTTATTATTTCTGATGAACAAGAAGAAACGGATCATGATATAAACCACTATGTAGAAAATTTGCTGAATGAAAATTGCTGTTTAGAAGAATGTTTGAAAGAAAAATTAAATTTTAATGACATTAAAACTAGATATAAATCTTTCCTTGATTTAAGAAAAACTGAACAAGATAGTTTTTTGAAAGGTATTCTTTCTGCTAGTTTAAGAGGTAAAGAAACTTACAAAGGAGAAAAAAGAAGAAGATTAGCAAATGTGTATTATTTTGATGGAATAGAAATTTGTAAAACTGCATTCAAAGGCATCTATGGTATAGGTGAAAAAAGATGGAAAAATATCAGAAGTCATTTTGACAATTTTGATATACAATTAAGAACAAATTTATTAACAGGAAAAGTAGGCAATAGAGCAGTATCATTTGATGGGGTTTTACAGACTATTAAATTTATATTAAATTATTCTAATATAAATGGACTCCCATCTCCAGGTAAATATAGATTTTTGATCAACATTTAATTTGAAAAAGTAAATTTTGTTAATTAAAGTAATCTATTATAGGAAGAAGTTTTAAAAAAGACACAAAACATATTATATTCCTTCCAGCAGATCAAAATCACACTACCGTTTTTAAATATTTTATTGATGCAATTGAGGAAAATTCTGAAATGCATATTTCAGTTAAAACATTTCGGAAGATATGGAAAATGTATCTTCCAGAAATAAAATTTCTTACTCCAAGAAGTGATTTATGTCATATTTGCAAAGAACACAGGTTCAATGCAAAATATTGGACAATAGAAGAAAAAGAAATGAAGGTTAGAGAATGGAATAATCATATTACATGGGCAATGAAGGAGCGTGAATATTATAGGTATTAATTATGTATGATTGTAGTTTTTTTGTTAAATTTGCTGAGTTTATTTTTAATTTTTAGAGTCTGTATAAAAGATGCAAAAGAGGCATTTGAGAGGTTGGGACAAGATTCAAATCCCACTAGATCTGCAAACTCATGTGATGTTAAAGTTCATATTTTGTGGGATTTTGCAGAACAGGTTCATATTCCATATTCTTCACAACAAGTGGTATGTACAGTATGTGCTTTTTTTGCATATAAATTTTTCAAAGGTAAATAAATTTTAAATTACATTTATTAAATAAATAAACAGGGGAGTTCATATTTTAAAGCCCTATATAAAGTTCAAGTATTTGGCATTTGTGAAGACTTCAAACCCAGACAGGTTAATAATTTGTTTTTTGAAAATTTATTAATCAATTTTTAAACTACAGTATATAATCAATATAATTATTATTTAGATCAATTATCTTATAGAAGAATCACAACATGTTGGTAAAGGAGCTGACACTGTGATTTCTTTAGTTCATAATTATTTTGAACAATACAGTCTTGGTGAAGAAGAAATAATAATTCATGCAGACAATTGCTCAGGTCAAAATAAAAACAATGCAATGATTCAATATTTGGCATGGCGGGTACTAAAAGGCAAGCATAAAAAAATTACATATTCTTTTATGGTAGCTGGCCATACCAAATTTAGCCCTGATGGATTTTTTGGATTGTTTAAATTGAAACTTAAAAATTCTGAAGTTGATGATTTAGAAGATCTTGTTAATGTTGTAGAATTATCAACAAATGGGTATAATAATGCCCAAACCATTTATGATGAAACTGGTGAAAGAAAAGTTTTTTTCCACAACTGGACTGAATATTTAAAAAATTATTTTAAACCATTACTAAATATTTTAAAATATCATCATTTTATTTTTAACCAAGAGCAACCAGGAATTGTATATGTTAAAGAAAGGATTGATGGAACATTTAATTTTATAGATATTAGTAAAAATTTAATCATGGATCCTATTTTAGAACAAAAGCATCCTGTAGGTTTAACTCCTGACCGAAAAAAATATATACGTGAAAATGTTATTCAATATGTTCAAAATTCTGATAAAAAAATTTTCTATTTAATGTAAATTATTTAATTATTTTTATTTTATTTTATATTATTACATTATATTATTGTTATTATTTTGTTTGGAAAACATCCCCCTATTTTTACTATAAATATGGAAATGATATACGAATACCGAATTTTTGGGTCAAAATCTCTTTTTTTAGTTATCTCAAAATCATGATTTTGCTGTTAGGTCCTTTTCTATTTTCCGCGCCCCATATATCGGGGGTAAGATATGTGAGGGTTAAGGTATGGGCTTAGGGTCATACCTTAACCTTGACATATCTTACCCCCAATATATCTTACCCCAGGTGTTAAAGCACGCACACTGTCTTGGACACTACAGTCATTCTCATCAGGGATGATGATTTTTTGTGTTTCACATAATTTCACAGATTTCTGTGATTTCTGTGATATAAGAAGAAATCATGTTACATCACCACAAAAATTCACAAAAAATAGGTTACATCACAGAATTTAATTAAAGTTGCATACTATACCTTATTTTGAATAGTATTTACATATTTGTTTGCATATTTTGATGTTTTAATTGTTATAACTATATATTGTGTGAGAATATTTTTATTACTTTAACAAATAATGACTTCACAACGTCTTAAAAATTCAGTGGTGTCAATTCATTCTCGAATCAGAGAATATCCTAAAGTTTTTAGAAATGATTCTGGAATAATTTTTTGTATTTATTGTGACAAATCTATTAAATGGAAACACAAATCAACAATAGACAGTCATGTCAATAGTATTAAGCATGAATCAAATAAAAGAAAATACAAAGCTAAACAACAAGTATCTCACCAACAAACCCTTCAAACTACACTTAGAGCAGCAGATTCCAAATAAATTGTAATAGAAGATTTAATTGAAGCATTTGTTGGTGCTGATATACCACTTCAAAAGGTTGATAAATTGCTCCCCTTTTTCAAAAAGCATTTAAGAGAAGGAGGTGCAATTCCAAAAGCTCCAACTCTAAGACAAGTATATCTTCCAAATATTTTTGAAAGTCATTTTTCTTCTCTTAAATTGCTATTTGATTCTAAACCAGTTTCTATTATTATGGATGAAAGTTTAGATGATTGTGCTCGTAGTGTAGTAAATACTATTTTTGTATACCACAATTACACCAAGCTTGTTTCAGTTGATTTTTTAGATAAAGTCAATAATTCAACAATTGGCCAGACACTTTTTTACATCTTAGCAAAATACAACATACCTTTTGATAAGCCAATTGTTTTTTTGTCAGACTCTGCTGCATATATGAAAAAAAGTTTTCGTGAGGTATTACATCCTGTTATGAGACAATTAATTCATCTACCATGCTGTGCACATATTATGAACTTGATTGGGTAAATTTTTTTATTTAATTATAATAATTACAATAAATAATTACAATAAATAATTACAATGAATATAATTTTTTTTATTATATAGTGAAACTTGGATAAAATTTCCCCAATTTAGTATTGTAAAAAAGTTTTTACAAAATATTAAAGATGCTTTTGTGAAATCAGCTGCACAAAGACGTCAGTATATAACTCATCTTAAACATCATGGAATAGTATCACCATGTAAAATACCACTTCCTAATGCAACAAGATGGAATTCATGGTTTAAAATGGTATTATATACAAAAGAATATATCAACTACTGGCCACATTTTTTTGAAAGTGAATTGCAAGAAAATTCTAATAATACATTATTAGAAATTCATAATACTTTACAAAATGAACATGAAAGAGGCATTATTACAATTTATGTTTATTTCATTTCAATTTTTTCACAAGAATTTATTCAAACTCTTGATTTTTTCCAACAAAAAAATCTACCAGTATTTCCTTATATTGAAACAAGACTCCAGCATCTTACAGCATATTTAGAATCAAATAGAACTGCTGAAAATTTTGGCTCAGGTCTTGATGAATTAATTCTTAGCCTTCATTTTGTTCCTAGAGATTTTTATCCAATTTTTCGTGCTGCATTTGAAGCTGCATTTTTAAAATTTTCTTTACATATACCTAATCATCCAGCACGTGAATTATTTTGTGCATGTAGAGTTTTTGATCCTGTTTTTATTCATCTGGGAGATATTCAACGAAGAAACATTAGACTTTATTCTACAATTGTACCATTTAACAATCCTTCACATAATCTTTTGTATGAATGGGGCATATATTGTGGATTGGAAACTCCACTAGATTTAGGAGAAAATATGATTGAGAAGTTTTGGTTAGATAAAGTGAATGAATTGCCAATTTTGTCTAGCATTGCATTAGATTATATTTGGCTACCAATTTCCAGTTGTACAGTTGAAAGGAGTTTTTCTTTTTACAATACCATCTTGGATAATAATTGGCAAAATTTGTCTCAAGATTCTTTAAAAATATTAACTATGATGCATTTTAATTCAAATTAATTAACCTTCCTTCTTTATGTTTATATTTTTTTATGTTTATTATATATCTTTATCTGTTATAACATAATAAACATTGGTTTATATTAAATTATCAATGTATTTTTATCATAATATTGCCACATAATTTCACACATTTACCAAAAAAGCACCACAAAACTTCACAAATTTTGCAAAAATGAGATCACATAAATTCACAAATTTAGGCTTGAGCACAAAAATATTTTACCTTATGTCACAGGAAAAAATCATCGTCCCTGATTGGAACATTCCAATAGTGTTACAATGTTCCAATTGCACAACACTGCATACAAAAAATAAGAAAAAAAGGGCACAAAATATAAAAAATCTACACAAAAATTACGACATTTAGTAGGGCATCGTAACACGGCAACCTTTTCTTCTTTTATATATGAAACCTATTTTTAGTATAGCTAGCTATCTATGTATGTGTATGGCAAAATTCGTGTACACTACTAATAATCCATCTAATAATCTAAATATGAATTTATTAAATGAAATATTACAATTCAGTAAGCTACTTACCTCAGCAAATGGAAATGATGTTTTCAGTTGGGATTCCAAACATTTAAATTTTGTTATTCGATATGCACGTACGATTGAAACTAAGTTATTTGGATTATCAAGGGAAAAAACAGATCTGATTCAACAACAACTTGATAATGGAATGACCAGAATTATTAAAAAACAAAAACCACCGCCATCCTTAGAAGAGTTAAGAAATGCTCGTTGTTTATTGTATAAAGCATTGATAAGTAATCCTAAATTATCAAATAATTTGTATTCTTACTTGTTAAAAACATATGGGTTTAATGATGATAATGAAAGAAATTCTTCTTCAAAAAAGGATATTATAACAAAGGCATGTATTTAGTAGTATACTCGAATAAAGAAAAGGTATTTATATATTAATTTTAATCTTTTTTTATTATGTTTATAGGATATCCTAACACGTGCTAAACCGTCTGCAACAATTGATGTTTTAGCAGGAATTACCAATACTTTTTTAGAATGTTTGGATGACATTAAAATCAAT